GAGGGGGTGTGGCCTGGGCCCCGCCCAGCGGCCGCTGATGGCCGGTGGTCTTGGGTACCCTCAGCGAGGTCGTGGCGGCCGAGGCCGTGTCGTGCCTGAACCGGGCCATGGCGACGCTGCGGGATATCTGGGAGGAGATCGGTATCCCCGAGGAGCAGCGTCTGGAGCGCACTGACGTCGTCAAGAAGCACATCAAGGTGAGTGGGGCTGGGGATTGTGGGGGTCCCCGGGGTTGTTAGGGTCCCAAGGGGGTAAAAGGATCCGCGGGGGGTGTTGGGGGTGTCCCTGGACCTGCTGTTAATCTCACACTAACTTACTGCTGGGCCTGTGGCTGCAGTGGGAGCTCCTCTGGACTGGGCCCAGGACAGCTTGGCTTGAGCTCGCCCAGAGCTCCCTCTCAGGGTCCCTTGGGCCAGGCTGTGAGTTTGGGGCCAGTTGGGTTGGGAGCACCCCGGGACATTGCCACACCCCTGTGCTCCCCCTGATCCTGCTGGGCCCCCCCATCTGCTGATCCCCTCCTCTGGGCCTTCGCTCAGCCCCAGCAGCAGGTCTGGGGCTGTGGTCCCCCCCTTCCTGCCCACTCCTCTGTGCGGCCCCTTCTCACCCTGCAGCCTGTCCCTAACCCTACCTGTGCTGCAGAATCTCCTGGACATGATGGTGGCAGAGGAGGAGAGCCTGAGGGAGCGTCTCCTGAAAAGCATTGCCCTGTGTCGGAAGGAGTTTGACAACCTCTGCAGGGAGCTCCAGCTGGACCCCTTCGAGGTAAGATATCACTTTTCACTCCTAGGATCCTGCTGGCAGCAGCCTTCTGCTGTTCAGCTTTTGCCTGTTCGTCTTGTGAGGCTGTAGCTCACAAGGCAAATGCCTCTTCAAAACCACTTTACCTGACACTTAGTTAGAGCCTAGGGCTTTGTGGTTCCTCGTGGTTTGGGCATTGGGCAATGGCTGTGAGGAGGCCAGGTGTCTTGCAACGTCTCATTTTGTGTGTTCATGTTGCGTTTCCTCCTTCCCGGGGAACATCTTGCTCAGAACTAGGGCCTGTGACCCTGGTGTTTAAGAAGCCTAAATATGTGAGTCAGTTCTGCGAGAGCTGTGGAGAAGAGAGCTGATGTCTGGACTCTTGTAGGTAGAGGAAGAAGGTACCATTCTGCAGATGGAGAAGAATTTGAGGACCCGTGTGGAAGTGCTGTTAAAGCAGAAAAGGGACAGGAAGCATGAGCTGAAAGCCCTGCAAGAACAAGATCAAGACTTGTGCGATATCCTCTGCACGACCCCCTTCTGCATTGACAGCAATGCTGTGCCCAGCCTGGAGGACCTGGACCGGTACAGGCGGCACTTGGCCTCCCTGGCTGCTGAGAAGGTACACGGGGGGGAGGATCTCGCTGAGGGTGGCACGTGAGGCGCTTGCCGGTTTCTAATGCCGCTTGTCGTCTCCAGGAGCAAAGGCGGGAAGAGTTTGTCAGCAGCAAGCGACAAATCATCCTCCTCATGGAGGAGCTAGACCACACTCCAGACACTAGCTTTGAGCGGGATGTGGTGTGTGATGATGAGGAAGCCTTCTGTTTGTCCAAGGACAACCTCGCTGCCCTCCAGGATCTGCTGCAGCAGGTATGCTGGCGCACCGAGGCAGCGCCACTGGCTCTCGGGGCTGGTGAAGGGTCCTGGCAGCAGTTGGCATCATGGTGTAGAGAGCAACTGCTTGGGTTCCAGCCAGCCTGGGTATTCAACATCCTTTCAGGAGCTTTTGCAGGGAGATCCTAGACGATGAGTGAGCAGCTTTGCGCTGGTGCTGACCCTGTGTTCTCCCTCTGCAGCTGGAAGCCCGTCAGTCCTTGAATGAAGCTGTGTGCACGGAGCTGCGCTCCAGAATTATAGCTCTTTGGGAGAGGCTGCAGGTTCCTGAGGAGGAGAGAGAGGCTTCTGCTGTGCATGTGGCTGGGTCCAGAGCCAAAACCATGAAAGCTGTAAGTACCATCCTACACTCCTGGAGTGGGAGGGCTGGGAGCGGCAGCTCAAGAGTTTCACCCTCTGGGCTCTGCCAGAGCTGAGGAGCCGCTTCCAGCAGTTGGGTGTGAGGTGAGCGGGACAAATCCTGCCCCCTGTGGGTGGAAGAGCTGTGAGTTGGTGCTGGTTACTGCCTCATCTTAGAAAGTAGCTTATGCAGAAGATAAATCCTGTTTTGCTTATCTTCTTGCGATGCCTTCTCTGAGTGTGTGCTCTGATCTCGTTGGCAGCTGCAGCTGGAAGCCGACCATCTGGAGGAGCTGAAGCTCCAGAACTTGAAATCTGTGATCCAGGCAATCAGGGAAGAGCTGGTTGGCTACTGGGACAAATGCTTCTATAGTCAGGAGCAGCGGGAAGCCTTCAGCCCTTATTACGATGGTAGGTGCTGGCTCTTGCTTGCCACCTCCCCAGAGAGGGGCTGCCCTCGGCTCCCGGAGCCATGGGTATCCAGCTGCTCCACAACCTGCCGCTGTACCCTCTCCAGAGGACTACACAGAGACCCTGCTCGAGCTGCACGATGCTGAGGTGGCGAAGATGAAGAGCTGCTATGAAACACACAAAGATCTGTTTGAGACTGCCCAAAAGTGGGAGGAGAGCTGGAAGCTGTTCCTGGAGCTGGAGGTATTGTCCGAGCGGGAACAAGCTGGGTCTCCAGGCACCACATGCCACCGCTCTTGTGTGCAAAATGCTGCTGGGAAAGACCGGGGAGGGCAGCAGGGAATGGCGGTGGGTTGGTAAGGGGATGGGGCGCTGTATTGAGAGCGCTGGTGTGGTTTGTGGCGGGGGTGACTTCCTCCAGGGCCTCTACCCTGTGGGGTGTCTGTTGGGGTGAGTCTGGGTGCTGTCCGGGCATCTTCTGACCTCCCTTCTGTACTAGAGGAAGGCAACTGACCCCAGTCGCTTCACCAACCGTGGGGGAAATCTGCTGAAAGAAGAGAAGCAGCGAGCAAAGCTACAGAAGACCCTTTCCAAGGTAAGTTCGTCCCTGGAGAAGAAGCTGTAGTGCTGGGTAGGCTGGCATAGCGCTGACCAGGGAGAAGCACGGAGACTCCCATGCTCAGGGCAGCCTCCACCCTGCCCCTGTGTCCCCACCAGCTGCAGGAGGAGCTGGAGAGCAGAGTCCAGGCCTGTAGGGAGGAGAATGAGGGGAGTTTCCTGGTGAAGGGACAGCAGTTCATGGAGCACGTGACAGAGCAGTGGCAGCTGTACCACCAGGAGAAAGAAAAGGAGAAGCAGGAGCGGGTGAGTGCAAAGCTGCCTCCTGGCCCAGAGGAGCCTGCAGGTGGCCCTGCCTGGCACGGGTGAGGGAACTGCCTCAGCCACCCTCCCAGTGCTGCCTGGGGCTCTCGCCCTTCTCACACTCCATCTGGGAGCGGCTCTGTGTGCAGTCACCTTTCGTTGATGCTGGGACTGGTGTCCTTTGCTGTCAGTGTCCATGTTGAGCCCCTTTCTCTGTGCCAGAGCCACAGGGTGGCTCTGGACACCCATAAATCTGTTGCCGTCATGGCTGCTTGGCCATGTGCTGCCCACGGGGCGTTGCCCACTGCTGCCACCCAGCCCTTCCTCTGGCAGCAAGCAGCCACTCCCCAGCTCCTTTGCTCGCCTTGGTGATCACAGATTTCTTGCAGCAACTGAAGAGAAGCCGCCAGATCGAGACAGAGATGATGTACGGAAGCACCCCACAGCCATCCCTCAAGCGTCGGGTGCTCGGCCCCAACACGCCTGGCAAAGCAAGGAAGGTAAACTCTGTGCAGAGCAGCACAAATGTGCAGGGACCCTGTGGGGTCTGGGGAAATGCGGGAGGGTGTGGGGCAGGAGGAGAGCGGGGACAGGGCCCCTTGGTTCCCCTGGTGCAGTGCAGCCACTGGTTTCCTTCCCAACTGATGTGTGCTCTGCTCTTTCCCTCAGCTCAATGGCACTTGCATCTCCAACGCCACACCCAACAGCACTGCCCGTTTGGCTTTTGGGGGAACCATCTTCCACTCACCCACCTCACGGTTGCCACCTTCTGGAGGGAAGGTCAGGAGCTTTCTGGGGAGCCCTTGCTCGGTGGGGTGGGCTGGGGAGGAGAGGGGCAAGCCAGGATGGCTCAGCTCCGACTGCTGTTGTACTCTGCTCTGCCACCCCCCTGCCAGTCTCCTAGGGTGCCGAAGTCCCCCTTTGTCCATAGCCTTGGGCTGCCCTGAGCCTGGTGGGGGATTTCTGGGACCTGAGGGAGGAGGGTAGTAACAGCACTCAGGAAATCTTTCTCCAGCACAGAATTTTGGGGTTTTTTTAGCATACCTCTGCTGAGACTGCAGCTTGGGGGTTCCTGCAATTGTGGGTGTGGTGCTGCATATTTCTGGGATCAGAATTGGAGCTTGAACCTCCTTGAGTGCCACAGAGTGACAGGCAGCGAGGCTGGCGCAGCTCCCCTAAGCTCCACTTGGTTCTTTTGTCCCGTCTAACTGTTGCTTCCTCCTGCAGTTGTGCCAGGCTCGGACCCCCAGCCACCTGCCAGCAAAGATCCCCCGTCTTGCAGACCAGGAGAAGAACAAGGAGAATGTGTCCCAGCTGAACGGAACCACCCTGAGCGGTGGGTGTACTCCCGCAGCCCCTGCCCAGCGTAACCACAGCGTTAATTCTGTTGCCAGCACCTATTCCGAGTTTGCGGTAATTCACCTCTTCTAAACCACCTACCCTGGCTAGGCAGCACAGGGGTGTGCTCCTCCAGAGCCCCCCACAGGGCTGCAGCTCCCTGCAGCCCCCCACTGTGTCCCCTGCTCCTGCCAGCACCCATGGTGGCAAATCTTTTGGCTCTGTATCAAGAACTTTAAAAATAGAGGTTTACGGGCTGAGGCCAAGTACTGCTTATGTCAAAGACCCTGAGCAGCCCTGTGGGGAGCAAACACAAGAGAAATGATAAAGCCATGCCCAAGCTCCTGGAACAGCCCCACTGTGCAAGGTGGGTCTGTCTCCAGCTGCTTGAGCATCAGGACCAAGGGCCCCCCCGCTTTCCCGTGGGTCTCTGTGCTGGGTGAGCAGAGGCTGCTCCCGCTGACAGATGGGGCTTTGCTGCCTTCAGCAGCCACTGCTCTTCCCAAGCTCCGATGTCGGGGCAGCGCTGGGCAGTTGCCCCGTGTGCCCAGGGTTGTGCTGAAGGTTCCCCCCCATCATCCCGGGCTCATGCAATGGGCAGGAAGGTGCCTGTCTGTACTGGGGCAGGTTCCTACTCCATGTTTCCTCTCTCCAAGAACCAGGCAGGGCTGTCCCTACCCTCCCACTGCTGTTGCTGAGGGGTAGCCTCTTTGCTTCCCACTGCAGTTCCCAGCTGGGGTCTTCATGGGCAGCAGCTCCTCCTGCTTCTGCCCCCTTATCCCCATCTTCTTCTTTCCACAGCGCGAACTTTCAAAGGCTTCTAGATCTGACAGCAGCTCCCGTGTCCTGAACTCCACCACCACCACTGGCTTCTGCTGATGCGTGGCTCCCCCTACTCCTAGTTTTGTAGAGACTGCTGCTCAGGCAAAGAAAGCTCCAGGATTAATTTACCTGGGTCCCAGGCCTGCCTGCCAGGGTAGGGTGCAAAAGGGGCACTTGTACATAGTTGCTTTTATTTTGGGAATTCTTGTAAATATTTGTGATTAAAGATTTGAGTACATGGTTATGTTTAGGGTAGTGCAGCGGTAGGGGCTAACTCTAACCACAGCCCCCCGGCGTGAGTGTTGGTGTTCTGGGACAGACAGTACGTACCTGAGGGCTCTTCTCCATTTCTGTAGCTGTGGGACACCAACCTCTCCCTTTCTTGGCAGTGCAGCAGCCTTTGCTTGGCCTCAGAGCATTGGGCTCACCCCTGCTGCAGGTGTCATTTCTCCCACAGTGGTGGGGGGTCCCTGGGGGGAAGAGCAGCAGGCCCAGAGCTTCAGCCTGCATGCACCTTTGTTTATGAAAATGTCTGTCCCTGATCATGACTGATTTGTACCTTGTTATCACTACAGTCCCCCACTTGCTGTTATTTATTCTCCAAGTTCTGTTCCCTTGTTTTCTAACTCTGTATATATTGTTGATGGAAATAATACGTTTATGTATATAAAGCCACAGTTGTCCGTGTGTCTGTGGGGCCCTGGCTTGGGGTGGGGGGGGGCTGGGGGACTTTGGGAACATCCTTTGTACACAGCACAAATCACCACCACAGCCATTACCAGAAAGTTTATGTAATAAATGTGTTCAGCCTCTCCCAGGGTCAGCCTTAGCGCTCATGTGGCTGCATCAGGCACCAGCCCAGCTCCAGGGGGAGCTCAGCTCACCCAGACTAAACCCAGCCTGATCCTGTCCTGGGGGACAAGGTGGGGCTGGGGCTGGTCCTGGCAGCTGGCGGGCAGGAGCAGAGTGTGCCGGTGTGCTCCTCATCTTGCTGCAGGCAGCCGTCATGGTGGGGGTCTGGGGGGGCCTCACAGCTCCAGCACACAGACGTAGGTGGTCCAGGGCCCACACACCACTTCCTCTGCCCGCAGCCCCTCAGCCTCCAGGTACCGGACCTGGCACGGGCGGTCACAGCTGCTGTTGTCTCCGTGTCCCAGCTGCCCATATTTACCTGCAGATGCCACAGTGGTGCCATGATGTGGCCCTGGGGCCTCTGCCCTTGGCTCCCGGGGAGGGGGGGTGGGAGGGAGTAAATG